GTTATAATGCTCAGGAACAGAGTTAAAAAATAAATTGCAACCACTGTTTCCTAACATCATCCGCTTTTGGAAGCTCAAACAAAGACGTTTGGGCACGGAGGTGAAAAAAAAAACTGCATTTCAGGCGGTCGCACACCGGACGAGAAGCGCAGCGTCGCGCCACGTTTTTAAAATTCTAATACATTTTCTATGAGTGTTGGCACACCGGCGGCGTCTGTCCGCGACGCCCAGCTACGTCGTGTTATACTTGTAAGAATTGTTCTAGACATGCCGAAAATTTGATGCTACAGCACAGCAGCTCTTCTTCTTGGTTTTCTCTGATGCACTAACTCTGCAGCAGCACTTCTTCTTCATCGTCTCGTCTGATGCTCATGATCGCATGATGTGATATCACAAAGCCCGGAAAACCAATGCTGTAGTCCAAACGAGCCGTTCGTTGTAGTTCTTGGAAAAGGGATTTTTAAAAAACGAAATATCTCCCTTTGGAGTGGACTTTGAGATTTATAACTTTCTAGATCTTTTTTTTTATGCCCAAACATACACACTACACACTGACTAAAATTTTAAAAGTGAAAAAGCATAATAGGACCCTTTTATTTAAACAAAATACATTAAAAACAGCAACATTATGAAATATTGCAACAATTTAAAATAGCTGTTTTCTATTGTTATATATAGTAAAATGTAATATATTCCTGTGATCAAAGCTGTATTTCCAGCGTCATTACTCCAGTCTTCAGTGCCACATGATCCTTCAGAAATCATTCTGATTTGCTGCTCAAGAAACATTTCTGATTATTATCAATGTTGAAAACTGGTTGATATTTTTGTGGAAGCCATTTTTACATTTTTTTCATGATGTGACCTTCACAATTATTACACCACCTAACATATTTTACTTTACGCCCCTCAGAAATCTAAAGGACTGTTTTTTCAAATGCAATTACTGAATCAAAAGAGTATCTGAATGACTGTTCCCCAGGAACAGAGTTAAAAAATAAATTGCAACCACTGTTTCCTAACATCATCCGCTTTTGGAAGCTCAAACAAAGACGTTTGGGCACGGAGGTGAAAAAAAAAACTGCATTTCAGGCGGTCGCACACCGGACGAGAAGCGCAGCGTCGCGCCACGTTTTTAAAATTCTAATACATTTTCTATGAGTGTTGGCACACCGGCGGCGTCTGTCCGCGACGCCCAGCTACGTCGTGTTATACTTGTAAGAATTGTTCTAGACATGCCGAAAATTTGATGCTACAGCACAGCAGCTCTTCTTCTTGGTTTTCTCTGATGCACTAACTCTGCAGCAGCACTTCTTCTTCATCGTCTCGTCTGATGCTCATGATCGCATGATGTGATATCACAAAGCCCGGAAAACCAATGCTGTAGTCCAAACGAGCCGTTCGTTGTAGTTCTTGGAAAAGGGATTTTTAAAAAACGAAATATCTCCCTTTGGAGTGGACTTTGAGATTTATAACTTTCTAGATCTTTTTTTTTATGCCCAAACATACACACTACACACTGACTAAAATTTTAAAAGTGAAAAAGCATAATAGGACCCTTTTATTTAAACAAAATACATTAAAAACAGCAACATTATGAAATATTGCAACAATTTAAAATAGCTGTTTTCTATTGTTATATATAGTAAAATGTAATATATTCCTGTGATCAAAGCTGTATTTCCAGCGTCATTACTCCAGTCTTCAGTGCCACATGATCCTTCAGAAATCATTCTGATTTGCTGCTCAAGAAACATTTCTGATTATTATCAATGTTGAAAACTGGTTGATATTTTTGTGGAAGCCATTTTAAAAATTTTTTCATGATGTGGCCTTCACAATTATTACTTTATGCCCCTCAGAAATCTAAAGGACTGTTTTTTTTCAAATGCAATTACTGAATCAAAAGAGTATCTGAATGACTGTTCCCTTGCTGACAGGACAAATCTGTGGCCTTTAAGATATTTGAGCTTGGACTGAAGAAATACGGTGACATTCCTGAATACATTTTGGCGTACATCGATTACCTCTCTCACTTAAACGGTAAGAACGCCATTCCCTTCATCCACACGTCTGGTGAATTGGCAGTCTCCTTTTAATCTGCTGCCGAGCAATCGGTAATATTTATTACACCTGTACTGCCCTGTCAATCATATTGGGTGAAATGCTGGAGAAAAAGTATTTCAGTCAAAGCATTGAGAGATGCGTATCATTGACATGCCCTTGTGATGGCTGTTTATTTACACACAGATGATGATATCTGACACAGGAGCACTTAGCAGACCAAACAAAGCATCCGTCTCCTTTATAAAGCAGATAGCTAGGAGACTCTCTTTGCAAAGCAGTAAACATCAGCCGTGTTTATCTTGTCGCTAGGCTATTACCAAAAAATGAAGAGAAGTAAAAAGCCCGGCCAGGAATGAGTTTTCAAAAATGACAATGAATTATTGAGCTGTTTGCCCTTCCCTCCATCACAGAGGACAACAACACCAGAGTCCTGTTTGAGAGAGTCCTGACGTCCGGCAGTCTTTCCCCTGACAAATCTGGGTTAGTGATTATTTTACGCAAATATACCATCTATTTCTTTTCATTTTTGCTAACTATCTGCTGTGCTTCTCACACTTTAAAATTGCCCAAGTTGAGTTATTTTAAACCAACAGTCATTCACTTTGATGTTTCACACAGGCTACGTTTCAATGCAACTAAATGATCTGTTAGTAAATGAACTGATGGCTCAATCAGATTGAAAAGAGGTTGACCGAGCTCGATCCGAATGAAATTTGAATCGGATTGGAAGGAGTGGTGTAAACCTGAAATAGTCGGAGCGTTCGGAAAAAATGAAGCGTGGAAACGCTTGAATCTGACTTTTCTCAGTTGGATTCAAAAACACCTTGCGATACAATGCCCAATGCTTTGATAATTGTGTTTACTTGCATTTTACGTCTTACAAGACGTGCAAACAAATACGGGAATCGGATTACTTTGAGAATTCATATTAAACAGAACATTAAGAATCTGAGATTGGATTCGGACTAGTCCGTGTAAACATACCCACCGTTCATACTTTAACCCTGGGTTAGTAATTCACACCATACAGTTTGTACTCCTATTGGTCAACCAATATGTGTTTTTCATTGGCTAGTCCTGATATCTAGAGATCAAGTAGGCCAATATAAATTCCTTAGGTAAAATAAATGTACAGTTAATATCAAATGAGACATTTATTTTACATAATACTTACTAAAAATATATGCAAATGGAATATGAAGAGACTGTTGGTACATTTTGGATCTGAGATTAACTGAGTCTATCATGTATTAGGCGATAATCCTAAAATAGCCAAATATCGGCCAATTCATTTAAAGCAGCACTATGTAACTTTTTCTGTGTGCAAAATTGTGTTTACTTGCATTTTACGTCTTACAAGACGTGCAAACAAATACGGGAATCGGATTACTTTGAGAATTCATATTAAACAGAACATTAAGAATCTGAGATTGGATTCGGACTAGTCCGTGTAAACATACCCACCGTTCATACTTTAACCCTGGGTTAGTAATTCACACCATACAGTTTGTACTCCTATTGGTCAACCAATATGTGTTTTTCATTGGCTAGTCCTGATATCTAGAGATCAAGTAGGCCAATATAAATTCCTTAGGTAAAATAAATGTACAGTTAATATCAAATGAGACATTTATTTTACATAATACTTACTAAAAATATATGCAAATGGAATATGAAGAGACTGTTGGTACATTTTGGATCTGAGATTAGCTGAGTCTATCATGTATTAGGCGATAATCCTAAAATAGCCAAATATCGGCCAATTCATTTAAAGCAGCACTATGTAACTTTTTCTGTGTGCAAAATGTAATGAGCGAGTACATCATGAATTCATCTTCCAAACCGCGTTTTTGTCTTATTCCGAATCACTACGGTACACTTATAACAATAAGTACTTATATTTGGACTATTGTAGCCTGGTCGGGTCGTCACCGCTGCGGAGTAACACAAACCTGCGTGAATCGCCATAGACAGAAACTTAGAGATGTGTGCAGTTCTGTTTATTAACCGCTAGAGCGCCAAAAGTTACATAGTGTTGCTTTAAACTATACGTGTGAAATGAAATCTATTTTCTAGATGCATGTTCTAGATCTTGCTGTGAACAATTCATCTGTGCATGTTTCATTTTTAAATCATTTTTTGGCCTTTTAGTGTTTAATCTAAACATCCTAACTGGATCTCATTTAGTCACTTAAACTCCGCCCCTGCGACTCGCATTCATTGAGTGCCACGCCCACATCTCAACATCCAATCAACAACCGATGTATAGAACCAATCCCTGCCCTACATTTTTATTATTTAAATTTTTTTCAATAATTTGTTACACCTGGATGTACATCACAATATAGAAGAAAACATCTGTCACTAATTCTATTTCATTATGACTTTAACCCAGGGTTAAATGTAACGTGAAAAAGATAATATTCCTGATGTTAACGTGTGATTTTTTTGTGTAACAGGGAAATCTGGGCGCGCTTCTTGGCCTTTGAGAGCAACATCGGGGACTTGGCCAGTATCCTGAAGGTGGAGCGAAGGCGTTTCATGGCCTTTAAAGACGAGTATGAGGGAAAGGAGACGGCTCTGCTGGTGGACAGATACAAGTTCATGGATTTGTATCCTTGCTCCCCCAGCGAGCTCAAAGCCCTCGGCTACAAGGTACAATAGGAAACAGAATCATTCACAAATGATACTTTGGCACGACTAACACTCATCAGTTAGCTTTGCATTAGTTTCTTAGCAGCCAGTAATTGCAAAGGCCCTCATATACTCACAGCAAAGTTCTTTAGTTCTTTGCTTAGGAGTAAAAAGTTGGAAATACCTGAGCAGTGTTATACTGTTAGCAGACATCCTGACGCAACCCACACTGCTTCAGATATATAAATGTGCTGCACGCTTTCCGCTCAGTGAAGCAATAAACACAACAATAATAACAGTGGTGAGAAAACCGCATGTAAGAAAGCATCTGATCATATTGATATGCTTATGTTTGTTCTATACGGAGTAGACCAAAGTATATGGGGGCTTTACATACATCACTAATTTATAGTACAACATTCCTCCATCATCTGAACATGTCGATTGGCAGGACGTGTCTCGTGCCAAATACGCATCACTGATGCCAGAGGCGGTGGTCACTCCTTCTACCCCTTCGCTGAAAGACGAGGCCGACCGCAAACCTGAGTATCCCAAACCTGACACCAGCCAGATGATCCCTTTCCAGCCACGTCATCTGGCACGTGAGTATAAACACCTCGCATGCATTTAACATTCAACTCCGAGATGCATCGTTTGAGGATCTCTGGTCTAGATCATATGGAACCTTGTTTCCACCACAAAATAAAAAAATGAAAGAAGGTAAATGTGACTTTGTATCTCACAATTCAGACTTTTTTTCCCTCGCAATTTGTACCTTGGAATTGAGACTTTTTTTTACTTAGAAAAATGTGAGAATTGTGGATGCAAACTTGGAATCCCAAGAAAAAAAAAGTCAGAATTCTAAGAATTCTGAATTTTTTTCTTGGGAGTCTGACTTTTTCTTGCAATTGTAAGGTTTCTAATGTTCAATTCTGATTTTTTTTTTCTTAGAATTCTGAGTTTATATCTCGCAATTTTTGACTTTTTGTCTTGAATTTCTGAGTTTACGTCACACTATTTAGATTTTCTTCTTAGAATTCTGAGTTTATATCTCGCAATTTTTGACTTTTTGTCTTGAATTTCTGAGTTTACGTCACACTATTTAGATTTTCTTCTTAGAATTCTGACTTTTTTTTTTCTTGGAATTCTGAGTTTACAGCCCACAATTCTGACTGTTTCTCGCAATTGTAAGTTTTCAAATTTTCAATTTAGACTTTTTTTCTTAGAATTCTGAGTTTACATCATAATTTAGATTTTTTTTTTTATTATTGTTTTTTCCTCTTGGAATCTTCAATTCTGACATTTTTCTTAAAATTCTGAATTTATATCTCGCAATTTTGACTTTTTGTCTTGAATCATTCTGACTTTTTTGTCTTCTAAATCTGAGTTTATCTCTTGTAACTTTGACTTTTTCTTAGAATTCTGAGTTTACATCATAATTTAGATTTTTTTTTTTTATTATTGTTTTTTCCTCTTGGAATCTTCAATTCTGACATTTTTCTTAAAATTCTGAATTTATATCTCGCAATTTTGACTTTTTGTCTTGAATCATTCTGACTTTTTTGTCTTCTAAATCTGAGTTTATCTCTTGTAACTTTGACTTTTTCTTAGAATTCTGAGTTTACATCATAATTTAGATTTTTTTTTTTTATTATTGTTTTTTCCTCTTGGAATCTTCAATTCTGACATTTTTCTTAAAATTCTGAATTTATATCTCGCAATTTTGACTTTTTGTCTTGAATCATTCTGACTTTTTTGTCTTCTAAATCTGAGTTTATCTCTTGTAACTTTGACTTTTTCTTAGAATTCTGAGTTTACATCATAATTTAGATTTTTTTTTTTTATTATTGTTTTTTCCTCTTGGAATCTTCAATTCTGACATTTTTCTTAAAATTCTGAATTTATATCTCGCAATTTTGACTTTTTGTCTTGAATCATTCTGACTTTTTTGTCTTCTAAATCTGAGTTTATCTCTTGTAACTTTGACTTTTTCTTAGAATTCTGAGTTTACATCATAATTTAGATTTTTTTTTTTTATTATTACATTCTGAATTTTTTTTTTTGAAATTTGACTTTTTTTTCCCCCTTGGAATTCTGAGTTTACAGCCCACAATTCTGACTGTTTCTCGCAATTGATTTTTTTTCTTAGAATTCGGAGTATTTCTCGCAATTTTGACTTTTTTATTCTTAGAATTCTGAGTTTACATCACAATTTAGATTTTAAAAAAAATATTTTACTTTATTTTCCTCTTGGAATTCCAAATTTACCTGTTAAATTCTGAATTTTTTTTTTAGAATTCTGACTTTTTTTTCCCCCTTGGAATTCTGAGTTTACAGCCCACAATTCTGACTGTTTCTCGCAATTGTACGTTTTCAAATTTTCAATTTAGATTTTTTTTCTTAGAATTCGGAGTATTTCTCGCAATTTTGACTTTTTTTTTCTTAGAATTCTGAGTTTACATCACAATTTAGATTTAAAAAAAAAAAAAAAATTCTTGTTTTTTCCTCTTGGAATTCCAAGTTTACCTCTTCAATTCTGACATTTTTCTTAGAATTCTGACTTTTTTCCCTCTTGGATTTCTGAGTTTACAGCCCACAATTCTGACTTTTTCTCACAATTGTACGTTTGATTTTTTTTCTTTTCTTTTCTTAAAATTCTGAGTTTATAGCACGCGATTTTGCCTTTTTGTCTTGAATTTCCGAGACTTGCCATGTGTAGTTGCTGGTGATGGAAGAGTTGAATCTCTCATTTTGTAGTGACCTGAGGATCACACACAACTTACTTCCAATAAAAGAAAATTATAAAAATGTTGTTGCGTTATGTTACTTCACTGTCCGATCGTTTTATCAGTGTGCCGAATAAATCTGAGATCTGAAACAAATGTCAAAGCATTTGTGCTCACCACTAGGATGCACTATAGTGCAGTAGATGTTTTTACACAAACTCAGAATTCCAAGAAAAAAAAAGTCAGAATTCTAAGAAAAAACATCAAAATTGAAAATGAGAAAACTTGCAATTGCGAGAAAAAGTCAGAATTGTGGGCTGTAAACTCAGAATTCCAAGAAGGAAAAATGTCAGAATTGAAGAGGTAAACTTGGAATTCCAAGAGGGAAAAAAAGTAAGAATTATCAGAAAAAAAAACCTAAATTGTGTGATGTAAACTCAGAATTCTAATAAATTTCAAAATTGCAAGAGATAAACTTAGATTTCTAAGACAAAAAAAGTCAGAATGATGGGATGTAAACTCAGAAATGAAAGACAAACAGTACACCAGAACACAGGATGAGGACAGTTGTAAAGACCTAGATGTGATTTTCACACAAATATCTCCAGGTTATGTTTCACCTCAAAATCAGAAGAAATATATATAGCATAAAATAAATGAATGATAGTTTAGGACTGTTGCATTATAACATTGTTTTCAGGACCAGCAAGAATAGTTCCCCCTCAAAATCTCAGTGCAGTAAAGCTGTTTTTTTTGTTTGTTTTTTTTTTACTGTAAATGTGATGGGCTAAAATTGTGTAATTGTTGCTGAACAAAATGTCATAATTCACAACAATAATGTATATATAAAAATAATGCCTTTAAAAATAGGTTGAATTCATTTATTTGATTTGGGATGAAAAAAATTTGACATTTCAGTGTTATTTAATATATTTGAGATAATGTTATAGTTTTCATCAATATTTTGAATTAGTTTTTATATTTTTTTATAATTTTGTTTACTTTGTTTGGCCTTCCAAAAGAGGACACGACTAGAAATCAGTGGTTAAGTTGTATTTACAACACTGTTCCAGAACAGTTCAACCCAAATATTCAGATGTGTGCAGCACATTTTACGGAGGACGAGGACTGTTTCCTGGAAGAGTAGCCTACAGTGCCGGTGTTCTGACAAATAATGCTGACTCACAGCCTGTAAGTACGTTTTTTATATTTAAACAATTTGCCACTGATGATTCAAATGCGAGTTTTGAGCAGTGTAGAGTAGCGCTTGTTTGTCGTTTCTCTGATCACAAATGCAGACATGGTTTTATGTTTACGCAGCGCAACACAACGCGTAAAAAGACAGTATAAGTTATTATAATCCGTAATTATGTCCCCACTGGATGCAACAAATGCCTCGTTTATAATGGGTTTTATTGTTTTTGTCTCGTCGCTCCGGGACACGGCATCACAGTATGTTAAGGGGCGTAACATTTCCGTCACACGCTTGAGGTATTCAGCCAATCACAACGCACTGGATAGCTGGCCAATCAGAGCACACCGGGCTTTTCAGACCGATGAGCTTTGTTGACGAATTTGACACGTTTCAGAAAGGCGGGGCATAGAGGAGAAACAATAATGTACAGTATGTGGAAAATTATGTTTTTTTTTTACCTTAAACCACATAAAAGCATTTCATTACACCAAATACACAAAATAATGTTCTTTTTTTCCAGCCCATGTTCCGAAGTGAAGTAAATTTCAACGGATTTCCCCCGCTCAGTGAGGAGGGAGCGATGAACACTGTGTAGGGATCATATCTATCGGAACACAGTACATGCACATCGCTCACTTCTAACAAGCTGGCGCGAGGACTGGATTAACCGCTGGGCTACATCATGTGTCATTCACCGGTGAGAAAACTTTAAAAGTCGTGGACGAAGCGGAGTCCAGCCCGGGGTCGTCACATGTGGTTGCCGCAAGCCCGCTGGCTGCTCCTTCGTCGAATCGGCCGGCCGCGCCGTTCTCAAGCCTGCCGTGTGCGACGCTGTGTGTTTCTTTGTGAAAGCTAAACTACTTTGTTTGGCCTTCCAAAAG